TTCAAGAATATCAGCTGAGCTAGTCATAGCAGCTGGATTAGACAGACTCTTCTAGCTGCCCACTGGTATTGGTCGGCGATTTGGCATTTAACGTACATTTTCATTTTTAACAAAGTTTATTTTTTTCAGTCTGTTTATTGATTTTACAAGATTTACAAGCATGTTAATGACTACAGTACAGCCGAATTTTGTAGTAACAGCAATAAAAACGTGATATTTCAAAGTGCTACTCAAATATCAAAGTACATTAATATGATCTATACGTTCACAGAATGTTACACAACCAGCATCCACTCCTACATAATGGCTTTTCATAATGACTTTCCCTAGTAAATAATATTTCCACAGAATATTTTAGCATTTTCCCACTTCTGCAGTGCTCTGAGTGAATTGTATGAAAATCTGCAGTGATGAATCAGATGTAATGTAATTGTGCTGCCCAACTCATCTGGTGCAGAACAAAGGATTTTATTGGACACGTGCTAGAAGGTCAAGTCCAATAAAAGTAGTTCATAAACATAATAATTTTAAAACTACTATTCAATGTATTTCTTCATCCTATCTTAACCCAAATGTGCAGCCAAATTCCCTTAAAATGCCTCTTTCGTCTCTCTTTCATCTCACCTATCTCCTGGATTAAGGATTAAGATACAGGTTGCCAATATAAAAGCCTTGTTGGTTTCAGAATGCAGTAATAGAAAACCAAAATGGTTTTGAAGACACCTCCCTCCATTGAATGCTGCTAGAAAATTAAAGACACTAAATTAAGCATCAAGGCATGATGTCTTATGTCCACACGTTATTATTCAGGTGGAACTAAAATGAAGACAACATGAGTTAGGGAGTATGAACTTTCTGTTCCAAACACTGAACCACCAGCCACCAGGGTCCTCGAGATGCAATGTGGAAATGACAACTGGAAGGTAAGCCAGTGGATTTATGTCAAGGGGATTAAAAATGTAATGGGGTGAGGGATTTAAGGCATGGGGATGTCAGATGAAGGAGGAGTTATTGATGGTCATTAGAGTAGTATGGGCAGGCTGGGGTGAAATTCGGGAAGTTAAGTGACATGCTACAAAGGATTTAGGGAGATTAGAAGACAGACTGGAGAGTGAAAAGGAAAACTAGATAGCAGGTTGGAGATGGATTATGGTGGTTAGGTTAAGGGCAGTAGAGGGTTTTGAAGGTTATATAACAGACTAGAGAGAGACTAAAGCTTTCACTGCCATATTTTGTCATTCTTCATCTACTGTCCTTTACAATAGCTCATAGGACGATGTAGGGTGACTGGAGGAAGCAGGTGTAAGGTGATTTTTATGTGGTCGCAGTATGTCGTTAAGCATGTGTCACTTTCACTCCCATGCTGAAACCGTGGATCTATAATGATGCAATGTGCCACCCTGGCATCTTTTCTGATACTGAAAGCTCTATATTTCACATCATTTTATAGGGTCCCTACCATGCATCAAAATAAGTGTCTTGCATCATTCCTGTGACAATGTATATGCACGCTGTTGGTGCGTAGAAGTATTTATACTTTAGTCCATCCAATACTCTATGCCCTCTTGTGGTCACTGTCCCAATAGCGAATTATAGTGTGTTTGATTCCTTGGTATTGTGACCAGGCTTTCCATTGACTCTTCTGTCCTCTGGCGTACTTAACCTGGCACACAGAGTATAGAGGGAGGGTTAAGGGGCACACAATGGATAAAAAGGGGATTAAGTGGCACACAAGGGGTAATGAGAGTTAATAGGCACACAAGGTGTAAAGGAGGGTTAAGAGGCACACAAGGGATAGAAGAGGTAAAGAAGTATACAAGGGGGACCAAGAGACTCTAAAGAAGAATAGCAGCTATGAGACACACATTAGGGGGTAAGGGGCCAAGAGACAAGCATGGAGCAAAAGGAGGGCTTAGAGAGAGAATGGATAAGAGAGGGTCAAGAAGCACACAAAGGTAATGGAGAATATGGGACATAATAGATGTCAGGGGGTTAGAAGAGGAAAACAATAGCATGAGAGGGGTTACAAGTCACACACAAGGAGGTGAGAGGGTGCAGAGACAAACTGGAGAATAGAAAGGGAAACTAGATAGCAGGCTGGAGATAGATTATGGCGGGTAGGTGAATAGCAGTGAAGGGTTTGGAAGGTTATGTAACAGACTGGAGAGGGATACAGACAATAGATTGCAGCTTTCACTGCCATATTTTGCCATTCCCCATTAGTTGTCCATTATGATGGCTGATAGGATGCAGAGACAAACTGGAGAATGGAAAGGGAAACTAGATAGCAGGCTGGAGATGGATTATGCCGGATAGGTGGATGGTATTTAACAATTTGGAGGAGGATCCCAACAGATTATTCCACCCCAGGCGCCAAATAACCTAGATACACCTCCGACTGGACCTACAAGTGATTGGGTTTTGTTTTTTTTATTTTATTTTCGTTGGTAAAATACAACCATAACCTTCTATAATTACATCATTATAGATATCTGATCGTGAGTGGTAGTCACACTCTTGGAAAGCAACATTTTAAATTGTAATATATTAGTCCAATGCATTATGTGGACAGTTTCCAATACATTTTGTGCTGTGAATGTATTGTATGCATATAAAACAATTATTAAGTTAGAGACCGAGTAGAGAGAATGTATCAGGTTGCTATTATTTAATGGGGAGTAACTCCTAGATAGAACATAAACGAAAAAAGAGAACAAAAAAGCTAGGAAGGGAACGGATAGGTCTAAACTGTTCCACTTAAAGCTTTGAATATTAGAGCAACCCCATATAAATTTGGAACAGTGGAACAGTTTAGACCTATCTGTTCCCTTCCTAGCTTTTTTGTTCTCTTTTTTCGTTTATGCATACAAAACAAGTTTATGCATTTGAACAGACAGCTTAATCTATTTTAAATACAAATTTATCAGCATAAAAATATTTTCAGCATAATTTACGTTTTTCTATTTGCCTATTTTGTTACTAACAACCCTGGATTTTAATTTCACATTTATGTATTAGTCTATGGTTTGCATCTATTAATGATATCGACAGATAATTAAATTTTCCTACAAGGTATAGTTAGTGGGTGGGTTATATCAATAGTGGAGTCCTCTTCTCTTGCACTAGGTCTATGTTTTGACACATGCTCAGCGGTGTGCAGAGTGGAACTTAGTTTGACGCAAACCTGGGAGGATTTCATGTTGCACCAGACTATAGAATATTTCGGATACTTGTTTTATTGTTGTTAGCTAGTTATACAGGATTGCATATTTTATGAATGGATTTCACACTACATTACCCCGGGGTACATCATTGAGCTGAACCAGAGGCGCTTTTCCTATTGAAAGTACAAACACAACCATACTAAATTGGACTGCAAAGCTTTAGTTATTCGGACTCTACTCTATTCCCCAGACTTGGAATAACGTATTGTCTGACACTGCTGGCTTACATGGGAGGTTCAAATGCTCTTTGCAACTTCCTATATTATATTCGCAATGGGGAATAACTGGTTTGCTTCATTCCTCCAATGGTAAACTCTTAAAGTTCTCCATTGTACCCATAGTGGATTGCTTTATTTATGTAATGATTTTATTTATTTGCTTATTTCATTCGAATCAGTATTGTATTCTATTACTAACTCATTTTATGCACCCTTTAATTAATGATATGTTGATATTATAGTCAGTCAGAAAGCTTTTTCTGTCTTAGAAGTGGTGGCAGATCATTATTCATTATTGACCATTACCATATTCTATTTTATTTATTCAATTCATGTGTTTTGAAGGCCTAGATTGGAGACAAAATACTTAACTCTGGTAATAGAAAAGCAATCTCCCATAGATGAGAAAGCTTAACTCTGATAAAGAAATAGCAGTTCTACTGTTGGCATGTATGGCAAAGATTATGAAATTTCCTCAGATATGTTTATATATTATAAAACCAAGCTCTCAATGGGAAAACTGCTATTCAGTTAAACAAGGTTAAGGTCATCCCTGCTAATACGATCTAGTCTGATACCTTGTATGCAAGGGAGTAGGAATCAGGTGAGATAGGGGGACAATTGCGCCCAGATCATGATGCAGCTGATTACTAAAGGGATACTGTAGGCACCATAACTGTTTCAACTCATTGTCTTTGGTTCAGTTTTAAACTATTTTTTTATGTTTTGATGCTAAAAAAAGTCCTTAGGAACCCATCCTCTCTGTGCTGCTTTGGCAAATGAGGATGTATTAGCCTGAGCAGTAATGGGCAGCTGTGATTGGTGGTCATCTAAACACATTTAGCCTATCACAGTGCCCATAGCTGGTATGAATCAGTATGGCTTGAAAAAAGTGTGTGATCTCTGTCTTATCTACACAACCAGTGGGTCAGGCCTATGTTAAGATAGCGACACTCATTCAGTGTTAAACCGATCAAAAATGGTGGATACAGGGCACTCTAACCAATTCAAGAGATAAACTAGTTATAGTGCCTACAGTGTCCCTTTCCGTTTCTTGACCTCTGCACATATTCTAGAACGCACACACCTAGGAAACTTCACAGTGAGTGCAGTTTAGACAGCTTCACTACACGCTTTGTTCACCGGGCAGCCACGTATCACAAAATATACAACTGTTTGGCAGAATAGCACTTCTTTTTTCATCATATCCCGCTCCCGCCACACAGCCCTTTATGGAACTGGAGAAAAACATGTGTTTTGGGGTGGGGGAGATGGGGAGATGCATAAATGGAGGTCAATAGAAAACTTCTTCATCTGTAATACTAAAATACACCCCTGCAGTTATACACAGATGCACATCACACAAAAACCTTAATTAATACACACTCACTCTTACATTCACATAAATACACTGATATGGTACAAAAATGCACAAACGGAGAATGTAGGGGGGCGTGTCCGGCGGCCGAGGAAGATGGACGCCTAACACCAGAGCTCCTCGTGGCGCCCGCCTTAATAACGCATACCCGCACGCACTCAGCCCGTTCACATACCTGATATGGGTCGCACAAGGAAGCAGTCGGATCCCACCGGCACCCCGAGACCCTCGGGCCGCGAAGGGGAGCACTCTATACGCTCCTACCTCCAGGCCGCAACCCGCGCCCGTTCACCGCAACGGGAGGAGGAGGCCGCAAGCCAGGAACTGGATTCCTTCCCCTCCACGCCGGCCAGGATGTCGCCGGTACCGTCAAACATGTCGGAGTCACAGCTTCCACAGGAGGGTGAGTGGAAGGCCATACTCCCAAATCTGCTCACCAAGGCAGACTTTGAGGCCTTATCTGACCGTCTGGGCCGCGTGGTGAGGGAGGAGGTGGCTCAACTCCGTGCTGACCTGGCTAATATGGAGGCACGTATGTCAGTGGCAGAGTCTGAGACCAGGTCACTACGCACTGACCTGGAGCAAACGAATTTGGCCGTAGCTAATCAAGAAGCAGACACTGCTAACCTCACCACCTGGATCGACGATCTGGACAACCGCGGCCGCAGGCTGAACTTGCGGATCCGCGGGATGAGGGAAGAAGGCCCAACAGAACACGTACCAGACGCACTGCTGCGCTTGTTTACCCAGGTACTGGGGGGCCAACAATTACCCAGACTCTGCATAGTCAGGGCGCACAGGGCACTGCGGCCGGTACCGGCACCGGAAGAACAACCTAGGGATATCATATGCTGCCTAGAAAACTACCAATTGAAGGAGGATATACTGCGCACGGCCCGCCGCATGGGAACCATCCGCTTTGAAAGCCAAAACGTATCAATATACCAAGATTTATCAAGGTACACCTTGCAGGCCAGAAGGGCCCTACGCCCGGTAACATCCGCTCTACAACAGGCAGGAATACCGTACAGATGGGGCTACCCATTTTCCCTATCGGCCAGACACGGCCCAGATCAACTGGTGGTAAGGAGACCAGAAGACCTCCCAGGTTTCCTCCGAGCCATGGGCCTCCCGCTGCTTCAAGTTCCCGACTGGCTGGCAAGATCGTTTCTCCAACCTCCGCCAGGACCACAACTACCACGCAGGCCAGACCAAGGTCCCCAAAGACCCCAGCAACAACGCCGCAGGGACTGGAATCCGGGCCCGGCAAGGCGCGAGCAGGAGCACTAATGGACTGTCACTCGGAGAAGCAGGACTCATGAGTCGGGGACCTGCTTGCAACCGTGAGTACTGCTTGGGGGGACACATGGACACATACTAGCCACTTGGGCAACAGCTTGGGTGGGGGACGGGGATACGGGGCCATGGTACCGCAGCGCACCATGCGACATGGGGACTTCCAAACACGGGGGATCCATACTACGGCACATCACTTTGCACGGGGGGGCTTACTCAGGACACTTGGGGAGGGATACGGGGTCTAGCCTCTACGCAGGCACTGCTAAAGCCGGACTGATTCAGAAGAACTGTGAACTGCTGGTCTTAAAGTTCGAGCCATTCAACAGGGAGCCACAAACGGTGTAACACCCGAGCCAAAATAGCCAGCATACCAATAGGGAGAGGAGCTAGAAGGGCACCCCATGTGAATCTGAGCTGAAGACGGAACGTTTCCCCCACTGAACAAGGTCCTGAGCCAGATGCTCTATTACGGGGCCCCATTGGGATTTTCCCCTAAGGCAAGGCTCTTACCCTTATTGCTCTACACCAGTGGCCCTGTGACAACACACACTCCCTCAAGGGACTCAATGCAAACCATAACCAACCAGCCAGTGTTTAGATACGCTGGCCTACTTGTGAAATCAAGCCTACTCCTGACTGCCTACCCACTTTCATACTCTGCACAGTTTATTGTCAGTTAAAGCCTGTCGGCTTGGTAATGTCAATGTTTACTCTATCCCGAAGTGCACTCAGTGGCAAACCGGGAAAGATACCCTCTGTACATCTTTGCTTACCACCTACGCTGTGAGGTTCGCCCACCCCCCTCCGCCCCCTGTGAATATACTCCGTCCCTTGCTGAGGGGGGGGAGGTATGACTGGCATACACGCGGGGGGAGAGGTGGGCTTATCGGGGGGGGGATTGACACATGGAAAGGTAACAGGGGAAGGCAGGGGACAGGTGGCAGAACGTAAGGCAGAGGGGGATGGGAGGACAGGGGACGAATACCCCAAGACACCGCCTAAAGGCACCAGGGAGGGAGAGGGGGGACATACGAGGGAGGGGGGAAGGGGAGGAGGGGGGGGGAGAAAAAGACCCCAGACGACTAATCTAAGGAAGACTAAGCGACAGCCCATAGGTTGACCTACACACGACCACCCCTATCGGACCCCAGAGGGAAAGTTGGGACCCAGCCCGCCGCATAGGCCGCACACTGCAACACACGCTCGCCTAGCCGCAGAGCGGCCCCTGCTATGGCCTATAACACTGACGCCACTATAGCGGCGGAGACCCAACACACCATAGTAGGGGCAGCCACACTGACACGCCGAAGTGATAGGACGCACAGAGACCACGCCCCGAGCACACAGGACCCACACTCCCCTCACAACCATATGACCGGAGAGAAACGAGAGATCAAGGGTCGACGCATGCCCAGACACTAAAGACCACCCACCCAGAAACCACACCTGCAGGACACTACTTGCAGACCACACCAGCAGAGCCAAACCCCACCAGACACACAGCTACAACCTGCATGCCCCCAAGCAGGGACTCACAAACCGTGACCATGCCCGCGACATGACACACTGGTCGAGTGACACCACTGCAGCGCAGAGCGCTCGGCCAACTGAGAAATACGACGCACTGAGAAATGACCCGCATACACCGACCCGCGTACGCACTATAAAGAACGGACGGAGCGGCTGCTCCAGCCACATAGCCACCAAGGAGACAGGTGACTACATACCACGTATTGTACACGGTACCACACTCCACACCTACACGGAATCGCGGACGCCTAAGGGCGGCCCGAACTTACTCGGACGAATAACCCGACCCCCCCCACAGGCATAGGACATAAAAGTCCCCACTTAGCAGGGGACGAACCACTCCCGACACCGACACAGGCACACCACTGGGTGTGACCTGGAGGCCGAACACTCGGGACGCTTGTCCGATTCCCTTTACACACGTAAAGACTAAATAGACAGTAATTACCTACACAGCCACATTCTGTACCCGGACGCACCGCTGACTGCACCAAATAACACACGTATACACTTTTAAGACTTGCCACCTCGCCCCCTCGGTCCCGCCCGGACGATGCCGACGCCGGGATCCAGCGGATTCGCCAGGGAGGACTTATGCATAGTCTCCTATAATGTCCACGGCCTGAACGTCAGAGAGAAACGCACAAGACTACTGCGTGACCTGAAACATTATAAGGCTTCGATAGCATTCCTCCAGGAAACACACTTCCAGGAAGGTAGGGCACCTGCCCTGAAAGACCGTAACTTCCCAACGGGATACTTCAGCCACAACCCAGACAGACGCTCGCAGGGAGTATGCATCCTCTTTTCACGAAGAGTTCCGTACATGGAGCGAGCCTCCGTAAGATGCAAGCACGGCAGATACCTTTTCACAAAAGGCACAATCCTAGACCAAACGTATACGTTCGCTAATGTGTACGCTCCGAACACTAAACAATATCACTTCCTACGCGATACATTGAACACTCTGATGAAATTCGCAGAGGGCATCTTGGTCATAGGCGGAGATCTCAATCTAGCGATCCATCCAGACCAGGACTCAACATCCTCGCATGGGAACACACCACACAACAGGCATGCCAACACCCTCCGCCTCCTACACCTCCACCAGCTCGCAGACTGCTGGCGGGCATTACACCCCTCCACCCGGGACTATACGTTCTACTCTACGACCCACTCGACCTATACAAGACTGGACTACTTCCTGGTACCCCACCACACCCTAACCCTGCTCACCACCGCGGAAATCTTACCTATGACATGGTCGGACCACAGCCCAATCCGCATACGACTGAAATCACCACTACATAAACCCAGACAAATGTCATGGCGACTGAACGAATCACTCCTATCAGACATCGCGGTTGTAGACCAGATCCATCAACGCATCCAGGTGTACTTTGAAGACAACGAAACGGGGGATGTTACCCCACTGACGTGCTGGGAAGCGCACAAAACGGTTATTCGAGGCCAGCTCATCGCGATATGTGCGACTCGCAAGAAGAGGGCGACACAGACGATACATGACCTCAGCACGGAAATTGAGATGTTAGAGGCCAGACACAAACGCACCTTAGACGCGACGACCTACGAGGAGCTACTGTCCAAACGGAACCAACTTACCACACACCTGAACCGCGCAATCCAACGCTCATACCAACATTATAAACATGTGATCCATGAACACGGGGACAAATGCGGGAGACTGTTAGCGAATCTCCTGAAGCAACGCAGGAACCATCTATATATCCCGAAAATCAAGGACGCACAACAACAACTCAGACACTTACCGGAACAGATTTCGGCAGCATTCCATGCGTACTACCAAAACTTATACGGCCTCCGACACACCGCCCCGGAGATGCCAAGAACCCAAAAACTAGAGGACATTCGCAGATACCTGGATGCAGCTGATATACCGGGAATAGGGGAAGTAGACCAGGAAGCACTAGAAGCCCCCATAACCCCAGAGGAGCTAGCGCAAGCCATCAAAAAAGCAAAAACGGGCAGAGCACCAGGACCAGATGGCCTACCCCTCCAATATTATAAAACCTTTGCAGGGGACCTAATACCGAAACTCTTGGCGGCACTGAACTCGGCCCAGGACGGGGCCACACCAACGGCCCAATTCACCTCTGCGAACATTACCCTCCTTCCGAAGGAAGATAAGGACCGGACACTATGCCCAAGCTATCGCCCGATCTCTGTATTGAATACGGACCTCAAATTACTGGCGAGTGTACTGGCGGCACGCCTGGCACCGTTACTACCGGCCGTAATCCACCCGGACCAAACAGGTTTCATACCTGGCAGGGAGGTACGGGACAACACTATCAGAGCCCTGAACCTCATAGCACACGCGAAAGCGCAGAAGATCCCAGCCCTACTCCTGTCTACTGATGCTGAAAAAGCGTTCGATAGGGTGGACTGGGACCTGATGTTCGAAACTCTCCGCTCCCTCGGCATCGGACCCAATTATATGACATGGGTGCAGACACTCTACACCAACCCAACGGCGCGCATCCGGATAAATGGCGCACTGACAGACCCGTTTCAGATCTACAACGGCACCAGGCAGGGATGCCCGCTCTCGCCCATACTCTTTGCACTGACACTGGAGCCCTTCCTCAACAAGATCAGACACAACGCAGACATCCGGGGACTGACAGTCAGAAACGTGCACCACAAAACGCTGGCGTACGCGGATGACATGTTGTTCGTGGTTACGGACCCGGAGACGTCCCTTCGAGCGATCCAGACGGAATTCGACGTGTATGGCAACATCTCGAACCTCCGAATTAACTACACAAAATCGGAGATACTAAACATAACTACCAGCCAAACCATCAAACGCGTGATTCAGGAACAACACTCCTACCGCTGGCGTGACCAACGCATGAAATATCTGGGAATATGGCTTACGCCCAATCCGGTAGACCTGTACACCCACAACTACCTCCCGATATTGAGAAAGGCAACGGAGGAACTACAACGATGGGGCTCCTACTACATCTCCTGGCTGGGCAGAGTGAACGCGGTGAAGATGACGCTACTGCCGAAACTACTCTTCATATTTCAAACGGTGCCGATAAAAGTCCCACGAACATTCTTCTCGACACTTAAGACGGAGGTCCGCACCTTTATTTGGAAGGGCAAATCCCCACGCATAGCGCACACCCAACTGATCTTACCCAAGCTCCGGGGGGGCTTAGCACTCCCAGACTTCGAAAAGTACTACCACGCAGCACACATCACCAGGGTCATCAGCTGGTCGATAGCCAGCGGCACCAAGCAGTGGCCACAACTAGAAGCTGGCATAACCAACTGCGACCTCAGAACCCTACCGTGGATCACCAAGGCAGCATATAGAAGCAAATGCATCACCAACCCATTCGTGGCGGCGACCATGCAAGTGTGGCATGGGCAAGGCACGAAACGATACCTCACCACGGACCCAGGCCCGCTCCTACCCCTGAAGGGTAACCCAGATTTT